TTCACATCTTTGCAAAAACCAATCTTTGTTGCATTTTCTATATTAAATCCAGGGAATTCATATTGTTCCWTTTTTGAAAGCTCGTACCAATTTTCCTCATTACTCAGAAGAGTCTTTATCGATTGAATATACTGCATACCTCTTGATGATGAATTTGTTTTGCCAGAAGTTTTCTTTTCCTTGATTGACTGAAGCGTTTCATGCTCTGGCGAGATGACAATAATGTCCGTCGGGTTACAAACATAACTTTTTCCTCTGGTGCTTATGGCATATGTTCTTGACACGACGTTGAAACGGTTTTGCAACGTGAACAACTTGAATTCAACCTGCACTAGATCAAGGGCTATAAGTTGCCGTAAATGACGACCCCACCATTTGCTGGAAACGGTTTTACCCCCTATCGCCTTTCCTTTTGCAAACGTTTTCGAATTCGAAATAAGATGCTGCATCTTCTCTTGCGCTAACCAATCTTTTTTCGAGCCTATTAGCCACGTTATTATTTTTTCCTCGTTCACTGATACCATCGCTGAAATCTCCTCTATTGTATTCAGTAGAAGTACAGCAGACTCTGTAATGTTGAAATCACGGCTGTGTATTGAGTCACATGATGTGCAGCATTCGTTCTTCTTAATGTCTTTCAAATTTCTGTCTACAATTTCGAAGCTTTCCAATAGTGATTTTCTCAGACATCTCCCGATGTATATTCCGTAGATCCACTTCCAGCACTGTAAGTATTTCATTCTTGTTTCCGATGTCTCCTGTGAGTTGCATGTTCTTAGCCAGCACGTCAATCGTTGGTCGTCACGATATTCATTAATAAGTAGAATACCATCCGATGCATCACCTCCTCGACCTGCTCGCCCAAATTCCTGCATCAGTACGCTATTGTTTCTCATGCATCCGATGCGTATCACGATATCCACATGGGGGCTATGTGTCCCTACTTYATAGGATTCTGTRGCTACCAAAATTTGAAATTTTTTAGAACGAAAGTCGCTGTCAATTTGTTCTTTTCGCTTGGCCGGTATATCACCGTGGTACGCCTTGACATCATTAATCCCCAACTTGCTCAACTGGTTGACCATTATATCGACATCCTAGCGTAGTCCTCCTTGATGATTGACTTTAGTTGTTGTGCAGCTTTAGACCATCTGTCCTCTTTTTTTTYSRWTT